TTTTTTTTTTTTTTTTTTTTTTTGGTCAGACCGAGAGAACTTTTATTCCAAGCTATGAGCCAGGCCCGAGATGGGTCCTGGTCCCTGTTGGGAGAGTCCTGGTACCTTTGAGGGGTCTTTTCTTATGGCAAGTACGAACTGTGGTCCCCCTTAAACAGTGTCTGTACCCTTGTTAACCATTGCCTCTTCAAGCCCTGAGGCTGTGAGGGTTCCCAGGCAGTAGAGAGAGCTGCCTGAGAGGTTCCTGAGCCAGAAACTTAATGTTCAAGTCCACAGAGCACAGGCGTTTCTGGCGTCTCCCTGTCACCTCTAGGTGAAAAACAGTCAGGTACTCCAGGCTTGTCAGTCACTCACTGTCCCCAGGAGCACCCCACCTGCCCAGTCCCCTCCTCCACCAGCTAGACCTCAGAAGCCCGTCCAGGAGTGGAGACCAGAGCCTGTCAAGGTGGGCCTGCCCATTCTGAAGCCCTCTTCTGCTGGATATCTCCACACAGAGTCAGAGAAGGTCGAAATTTTCCCAGAAAGTTTGCTTGGAGAGCCAGGGCGCCATGAAGGCCAGGCTCCAGACTCAGGGATCTCAGATTGGATCTGCCAACCGGTGCCTAACGTGTCTGAGGCTCCCCTCCTGCCACAAGGCCTCAAAGAGGCCACGTGCCAACCTTCGGGGACGAGACCTGAAGATGTGGAGAGAAGCCATCAGGCCTCTGAGCTACTGCAGCAAGAGTCACCTCAGAAGGAGGGATGGGGCAAAGACAGGCTTGAGAGTGAGGAGGATGTGGAAGACGATCTTGACTTGGATGAGTCATCCCAGGACTCTCCTCCCTCCCAGGCACCCCTGGCCCCTGGTAGGGCTGTCCCTCAGGCTGTCTCCAGGGAAACCACTGGCTTGCCTGGGTTCTCGGTTGAGGGTGCCATCCCACTTCCTGTTGACTTCTCCAAAGTCTCCACAGAGACTCAGGCCTTGCAGTCAGAAGGGCCTGGCACAGGGCCCATGGAGGAAGGGCACGAGGCTGCCCCAGAGTTCACATTCCACGTGGAAATCAAAGCCAGCGTGCCGAAGGAGCAGGATTTGGAAGGGGCTACATTGGTGGGGACCCCTGGAGAGGAGCAACAGGCCCAGGGCCCCTCTGTGGGAAAGGGTGCCAAAGAGGCTAGCCTTCTGGAACCATCTGAGAAGCAGCCCACACCTGGCCTGCCGGGAAGGCCAGTCAGTCGGGTCCCTCAACTTAAAGGTCTGTGGTCTAAGTCCCCTCACTCCTCCCCTGGTGCTCCAGGCTGTGGACACTGTCACTGAGCTTCTGGCCTTCCTTGACTGCCACACCCTGAGATTCCAGGATAGCCACTAAACCCACCGCCTGGGCCGCTGCTGCCTTCCCAGCCCCTGCCCTGCAGCCTCTAGTGGCACGTATTCCTTTCACGCTTGCCCTTATTCTGCATGTCACCAACACCTGGTCCTGTGCTTTCTGCCCTGTTTTGTTCTCTATCCACTTGATATGGCCACCATGGTCTACCAGCCCACCAGAGGTTGGTAGTCACACGACATAGAGTGGATAACAGTGTTCCTCATTTTTGAGGGCTTATGATGTATTTTTACATTCATAATCTAGAACCTTCCCAGCACTCTGAGGAGGCATAATTAGCCCCACTTTTCAGATGAGGAAACTGGCCACAGAGCAGGAAATTGACCTTGAGATAAACACCCAGAGAAAGTAATGGTTGAAGTCAAGTTCAGAATCCAAATAGGTTGCACCCTCTTGCCATGGTCCCCCACATTGCCCTCCAGAAGATGCTAGAGCATGTCCTCCTGGTGCTGAACCACTGAGTCCACCTGCCTGTCACCAACAGGCAGCATGTTACATTTGATGGGTGACAGCCACCACTATCGAGGTGGCTAACAACTCCCAAAGCTCTCCCCCATACTGCTTGCAGCAGGAATGATGAATAAAGCATATCCTCCAAGTCCAAAGTGACACTCATGTCAGTCAGGGACAATCCTGTCAGTCAGTGTGCAACCCCATCTGGAACCCTTTGGAACAGCCTCCAGGCAGCAACATTCGTGGCTTTAAGATTTTAGAATACTTGGCATTTGGGCCTTCTAGATGGCTCAATGGGTAAAGCTACTTGCCACCAAACCAAATAATGTAAGTTCCATCCCCAAGACCCACATGGTGCAAGGACATGCTGCCACCTGGGCATAGAGATCAGAGGACAACTGGGGGAGACAATTCTCTGTCTGTCCTTTGACCTCCATATGTGTATGGTGGAATGCATGTGGTACACACACACACACACACACACACACACAC